TAATGTTCTTTCACAAGGACTAAATGATCTTTCTTCAGAAGCTCTGAGAGCTTTGGTGCACCGAAAAGGCGTGCGAGTGATTGTGGGAGCTCTCTTTCGAAACACGAATCGTGAGCTTGAAAAAAATTCACTAGCAGTTTGCCAATTTCGGTTGTGTCTGGCTCCACCTGAAGGAATTGGGAGTCGTTCTGGTGAGCTCCGAGAGATTTTATGACATTTTCCAATTCCATGTAGTGCTTACCATCTCTTGCACTGCCTTGCATTTGGTGTGCCACCGTTTCCAAAACGTGCTCCTCGTTAAAGTTTTTAATATGCATGTTCTGCATGCACTGGGCTAAGAGAAGGGCAGAGAGCATGTTTGAAGTGTTTCCAGGGCCAGCTGCGTTGCGTGACAGCCCTGTCACGCAACACCATCGATGTATAGCACGGAGCACCAATAAGAGATGAGGGTAAGACTTGACGTAGCTTGACAGCAAAGCGGCCATTGTCAAACTGTCCGGGGATGAACTCAAATCACAAGTAAGGGTTGGTGAGCAATTACTGCCATCTACCAGTTTCACTGTTGGCCGCTTGCATGAAAGGACCTGGACAAAAAAATAAAAATCGAATTTAAATAAAGCTAAGAAAGGGCGTAAATATTTGAAGAGTGTGCTGCAGACTAACCAACCATGATTACTTTAACATGAGACAAGCGTGGAAAATAGATCTTTCCTTATTTTTGATTTTTTTCATTTCCCCTCTGATAAATTTATCGCGGATTGAGACTCTTCTTAAAGCATAGTTAGCGTACAATCGTCCATAGGTGAAGCTGTGTTTCGTCGGTAAAGCTGTCTCAACACTAATTCAACAATGTCCTGGTTTACGAAGTCACCTGTCAACTACTCATGCCAAAGCTACGGCATAAATTAAGTCATCTACATCCTGTCTACTACAGGTCTTAGTATTCATATACACCCTAAGATATGTGGTAAGTGAAAGCACTAGGATTGGTCCATAAAAACTTGCGTCACACTCGCAACCAAACAGATTCGAAGCTGCAACCAATCGCGACTTGGTCACTGGGGTCTTTCCGCGCTTCAGGTAAATTGCTCAAAAATTGCTTCTTTGTTCTTACACGGTGGAAAAGAAATAAAAGATAAGTCATCATTAGGTGGTAAACTTCTTAAACATGAGAAAAGTGTTACTTACAGGAAAATGCTTTTTGTTGACAAGTCGAACTTTCCAGAAGAGATTTTTAACGTTTTCGTCTAGTTGCCCTTGTTGCTCTGACGTCACCTCCTTCAAGAGAGGAATCAGGGACCTCAATACTTTCGCTTCTTCCTCAATCAAAGTCTTATTTCTTTGTGGTGACACCACAGGGAGAGCGAGTAGGTTTCGTGCCCAGATAT